CTGTGGGGCAGGAATCTGGGGAGGTCTCACCTGGGTCGGTTTTGCTTGGCACTTGCCAGATGGTTGCAATCAGCTGTCAGTGGGTACTGCAGTGGTCTGAAGACTCAACTGGACTGGACATGCAAGGTGGTGTCCTCAGACGCTGGTGACTGGTGCTGGCTGCTGACTGGGGCCTCAGCTGGGACCGTCAACCAGAGCACGTACAGTGACTTCTTTGCATGGCTTGGGCTGTCTTATAGCGTGATCTCCTAGAGAAGTCAGAATTCTTAGATGGTCAAGTGTCCAAAGAAGCAGGGTGGGGGCCGGATTGCATTTTACGATGCTTCTCGGAAGTCAGTGGTGTCACTCCTGTTGCTTTTTTGTTGGTTATGAGCAAGTCACTAAGGCCAACCCAGCTTCAAGGAGAGGGAAGGTAGACCCCACCTCTCTGTGGGAGGAGGGCCAAATAATTAGCAGACGTGTTGTAAAGTTGCCAACTAAAACATTCATTTTCAGTCTGTACTGTCTCCAAAAGAATAAGAGAGTATTGAAAATATCATTCTGACTAAATTCCAGACGACCTTGTGGCACCCTTTCCCTGTCTCCCAACCCAACCATGCATAAGAGAATTTAGCTCACCTCAGGTTGAGAACAGGGACGAGAGGGAAGATAAGAAACAGCAACTGCTAGGGGGCACCTGGGTGGCTCAGTCGGTTAAGCATCTGCCTTCGGCTCAGGTCATGATCTCAGGGTCCTGGGATCGAGTCCCGCGTTGTGCTCCGGCTCCGTGGGGAGTCTGCTTCTCCCTCTCTCTGTCCCTCCCCACTGCTTGTGCTCTCTCTGTCTCAAACAAACAAACAAACAAACAAACAAATAAATAAACAGCAACTGCTAATTGTAGCTTAAATAAATTTGCATCATGCCATGTCATATTAGTGTTATCATGGGGTTCGACACTATTATAAACTGCGCTCCTACAACAGAAACTCCGCAGCACAGGGCCTTCAACTTCTTTCACCTAACAGTCCAGCCTGCATGGGTGTTCAGGGCAGCTCTTCTCCATGATGTAATTTTGTGACCCTGGTTTCTTCTCACACCATTAGTTGGCTGTCCCCTAAGGTGTTAGCCTCATCTGCATGGGCGACAGGGGCCAATCCATCACTTCCAGCTGGTGAGAGGAAAAAGGGGCAGATTCTAAAAATGACTCTTGTCTCACAATTGGAGATGATCTGAACTTAGCTTGCATCCATCACCTCGGCTCACAACTGTTGGCCCAAATTCAGCCACACGACCATACCTTGGCCTCATGGGAGGCTGGAAGTAGTTTCTGGCTGGCAAGAAGGAAAACAGATTTGGTAATAACAGCCTGGCCCACAAATGATCAATAAATTATATTCTAAAGTTCAAATGTTTGCAGCATTAATAAGCTAATCAAATCTTCCTTATCTCCATCAATTTCAGCGTCATCATTAATGTACCGATTGCAAATGAGTCTAAATGAAATAACGTGTATTCTTCCAAGCACTTTTCAATTTCACAGGGACTACCAGCAATCCTCTTGCAAAAATGTCTGCACATTTAGAGTTAGCAATACAGCTCTTACCTGGTCTTCTCCAAATGAATTATTGTGAATTCCAAATAATATCCAATGGGATCTTTTTTTTTTTTTTTTTTAGATTTTATTTATTTTTTTGACAGAGAGAGACACAGCGAGAGCAGGAACACAAGCAGGGGGAGCGGGAGAGGGAGAAGCAGGCTTCCCGCAGAGCAGGGAGCCCGATGTGGGACTCAATCCCAGGACCCTGGGATCACGACCTGAGCCGAAGGCAGACGCTCAACAACTGAGCCACCCAGGCGCCCTCCAATGGGATCTTAACAGTTTAGAAATAACTAAGGTAGAGGAAAGCAGCTTAAATAAGAATCCACAAATAACCAAAATTGGTTGGGGGCCAAATTTGCTCACATTCTAGGAAAGAAAATGTGGTATTTTCTTTCATGTGTGTAACAGTTATGTTATTTATGCATGTATCATGTGTGTAACATTAAATTCTATGTATTTCTAGATTTAGAACAAGATTCTTTTCACGGGGGCGCCTGGGTGGCTCAGTCGTTGGGCATCTGTCTTCGGCTCGGGTTGTGATCCTGGCGTCCTGGGATCGAGCCCTGCATCAGGCTCCCTGCTCCGTGGGAAGCCTGCTCCTCCCTCTCCCACTCCCCCCTGCTTGTATTCCCTCTCTCGCTGTCTCTGTCAAATAAATAAATAAAATCTTTAAAACAAAACAAAACAAAACAAAACAGATTCCATGGCTTGCTGCAAATTTAACACTTGCATGAACGTTTATAGCCCCACAGAGTGTGCTCCCTAGGATGGGATGTTGCTGAGGATTCTGTTCGACGGTGTTGCAATGGTAAAAATGCTGTACCAGAAATCACCATTTCTGGTTTCCTTCTGGGTCTCCCTAAACAAGTTACTGAACTTCCCTGAATCGACTTTCTCATCTCTGAAATAGCAACACTACCCACACCTCACAGCCGAGAAACAAAATGGCGCACGAAAGCACTTTGTCCTCCATGAAACACAAATTCACACTCCGCAAAGCAGAAAGAATACATCAAGCCTGTGGCTAGTCTGCAGATAGGAAGTGCAATCAGCAAAGCGGCCAGGGGCTTTGGTTACACGCAGAGAGAGAGAACAAGGTTACGCTCTCTCATTTTTGATCCCAGCCTTGATGTCTCAAGCTAAAGCAGACCAATCCACTTGCCAGGGCCATCTGGTCCTGGTAGAACTCCCAGCAGGAGAGTGCACACATGTCCTGGTCAGCCAGCCACAACAGCCAGCGCTGCCTTGGGACTGGTGAAGAACATCGATATGATTATTCTGGCATTCTGGTGCCCACTGTTAGTTCACACAACTGACTTAAGGGTAATGGGCGTTGAGGGGAACTATCTATAGGAATTTGATTGAACAGAGTTACTTTGGGGTTAATTTGGATTAATTCTAGATTTAATCAAAAGGAAATGTATGGGTAAAGTGGGTCAAAGTAGAAACTTTCAGTTTTAAGTCATGGGATGGGATAAACAGCATGGTGAATATAGTTAATAATACCGTACTGCATATTTGTAAGTTGCTAAGAAAGTAGTATTAAAAGTCCTCAGTGTGGGGCGCCTGGGTGGCTCAGTCGGCTAAGCGGCTGCCTTCGGCTCAGGTCATGATCCCGGGGTCCTGGGA